TAGACAAATAACGCAACACTTCCTCTTTTATTTAGCATGTGCAGCCAATGAATTTCGTTGTGATGGTTACAAGTGCCTCTCACTGAACAGTGTTTGTAACGGATACATAAGTTGTAATGATCTCAGTGACGAGACTGACTGTGGTAAGTGTACACCGATTGCTGCATTTAATATGTTTATAGTATACTAATATTTATGATTTGGATACATCGGTTCTATGCTGTTTGGCGGGATTTAGTCCTACGGCCAAGAGCAGCAAAAGCGATTCCCAGTACATAATGATTTGCTTATACCGTATACTCACTCTCAATACAATTGAATTTGAATTTGAACACCACCAGCTGAATTTAAACACCACAGTTGTCGTGTAACGACGTGTTCTCAAATCAAAGGCGTAATTCTCGATAAATGTAGTTCCACAAAAGTATGACGATGTCTAGCTATGCCTATATTATGATTACTTGTCAAACGTTCAAACTACCGGCAGAAGTGATCAGATTACTGCTATTGTTATAACAATGTTAGGAAGTATAAGCTTTATCACACTACATTGTCATGTTAGATAAGATAACTATTTACATGTCACCACCATTACTTACATACACGTATAATTATATTAAAGAACCCATCTTTTTTCATTTTGCCACGACTAATATTTCTCCCACTCGTAGCGTCTTGATCTAAGGAATTTAACCTTTTTCTCTCTGTACTTGTGTGATGAAAGTAAATTGTCTTTACAGGATCGATCTCATAGTAAGGCTAAGATGTGGGTTGTAGATGAGAAGAAATAATTCAGATTGAGCCAACTAACAAAATGTTTCATAGCAATGGCGACACAACAGATTTGTCAGTATTGTATGCTCTCCCTCACTACCCAAGCTTCAGATTTAGGATTAGAGGCTAGAAATTCTAGTAATCTTCCAACAACGTGTTGTACGTCATATAAACACCAGATAAGCTTATACATACAATTATAGTGTATTAACCAGTTCATCCGGTGGATGGGAAGTTGTCCGTAGTAGGGGTCTGAAAATACGATTCCCGGCCACTCCCTCCTAAAATATGTGTTGCAGGTGAGCTACTTTGAGATACTTTCCTCCTCACTGACTGGATAGCATTTTTTCAATGTCGCATTGCATTCCAGGCCAGTACACTGTTCAGACCAATTCACAAACACCATGAATTCACAAACGCCTACTAGACGCTAAACAATATTTCTTGTTCCAATATGTGAGCCAAAGAACAGGCTGTTGAACAAATGGTTTGGCAAATAATAAATAATCCCAACATCCGTGTCCAGACATCTTCTTAGATATCATATTTGTACCCACCATAGTACATCTACCCAATCATGGTCATAGTCATGGTCATTAGAAAATGATTCACTTTATGACACATACAACTAAGCCTACTTACATGTAAACATGTGTTTATATGACGCGCCATTATTCTGATCAATTTATTTTCAGATTGTGGTGATGGCATGTTCCTATGTGACAATGGTGCATGCATACATGACTATAATGTTTGTGATTGTTATAACGATTGTAAGGACTGGAGTGATGAACGGATTTGTGGTATGTCATATTATCAAAATTGTATAGTAGTACAGTCACTGTTTTTATGCAATACATACTAAGCTCTGTACACATATATCACCAAAGGGCCGATTTTCCTGTGTGTTTTTAACAGTAGCTATAAGGCTTTTTAAAAGGTTGCAAGAGATTTGTTATGTTGTCTAATGTTAAAGTAACGTTCTAAAAAAACATTTTTTTATTTGCCAGTTAATTATAATATGACCATGATTATATAATATAAATATATATCCTCTGTATTATTTTGAAACAGATTGCAGTCTGCCGGGATCATTTCGCTGTGCACAGAATTGGAAATACCACGAAGATTATTATGATTATTATGACTACTACTTCTACTACTATGACTCTAGTGGACGTAACATGCATAACTGCATTGCAAATAGTATGATATGTGATGGGAAACGAGACTGCCAGGTTGACGAGCTGTACTGTGGTATGTGCATATGCTAATTCCAGACTGAAGGAAAGAACGTTGAATTACACGTTTGACAATCGTAACACAAAGATTAAACTAATCTTTAATCGGCTAAATGCAATACTAAGTACTATTTGCTACATCAAGTATACATATGCTTCTATTCCGATAATCATATTTGCCTAATCAGTTTTTTTTTTTTAAATAATGTGTTTATATATGCTAAATATTTTTAACTTCAATGCATGCATATATGAATACCAAGAACCGACTTTTTTCAATATGAATTAAAAGCACATTTGTTCGTTAAACTGACCATAAGCATAACATTGTATATACAGCAGCTTGGCTAGTGGTTATTAGTGTGTGTTCACTACATCTATTGTTTACTTATTAATGTAGTGGACGTTGTAGAATCTTGTAAACCATAAATTTGCAGCTACATTTCTCTCTTATATTGATTTTTGAATATTAACAGGCGACACATGCAAAGGATTTGAATGTGACTTTGGATTGTGTATCGCAGCTTCCTTACGCTGTGACCATCAGAAGAATTGCTTTGACGGAGATT